ATTTTAAATTATACAGTAACTTATCTGTTGTTTATGTGTAAAGTCTGGAATACAAAATAAATGGTGGTCCCTTTTGGACAGACTTGTCTTCGATGATTAATAATAATCTAGCTATCGAATGGAAAATCAACAAAAAAAATATATATATATATTAAAATTAGGTTTATAATAGCCCAATAATTTTGTAGATCATTTGGTTATATATAACTTTTGTGAAATATTTTATTCTTGATGTAACAACAAAATAAATTTTGTATTATTCAGATTTTCATTTATCTGAATTGGATCTTGTCTCACCAAGATTGAGAAAACACATGTACTCCAATAAAAAAATATACTATTTTTTACATTAATATTAAATAAGGAATGTTGCATTTCAACAAAAACAATTTTACTAAAATTAAATTGATTGAATTGTTATACCATTTGTTTGTTTATTTTAGGTTTTACTAAAGACAACAGTTGGTGACATTGATATAGAATTATGGGCTAAAGAAACTCCTAAAGCTTGTAGAAATTTTGTTCAGTTGTGTATGGAAGGATACTATAATGGAACTATTTTCCATAGAGTTGTTAAAGGATTTCTTGCCCAAGGAGGTGATCCTACAGGAACAGGTGAAGGTGGTGAATCTATATATGGAGAACCATTTAAGGTATATTTAAACATAAACTCAAAGTATTGTAACTCAATTTTTTATTTTGAAATATTATTATCTAAATATTTGTTTTAAATGTATTAGGAGAAAAAATATAGTTATATTCAATTCTATTCAGTAAAATTAAAAATTTTAAAGTGAAGTATTTTATTTGAAATTGAGATTTAACTTTCTAGGAAGTTTATTAATATTTTTGTTAAAAGGTTTATTTGTGTTTCAAACAAACCTTTTAACAAAACTATTAATAAACTTCCTAGAAAATTATTAAGTTAAAATTACATTTATTTTAATTCAACATGATAAAATCAGTTTAAAATGTTAGTTTATTGATTAAAGTATTTATTTTTTTTATGGATTTTTGGTTATTGTGATGATTTTTGACACGTACATCCAGTTTATTTGGTTGTTTATTATTTGAAATGAAATATTAAATTAATTATTCCAGTTTTTGCTTTTTATAGATGTTTTATTTAATACGTTTTATCAAATTATTGTTCAGTTAATCCTAAATATGAAAATAAAATATTTTAATTAATTAATTAAAACGCTGCGCAGTCCATATCCCGAGATATCTCGGGCAAGTATTAAATAATCGTTTCTAAACTTCCTATGCCTGATATATTACGTAAAAAGCTTATTTTGTATTCTATTGGATGTTTTCTATGACCTCAGCAAATTTTGAAATTATACATCCAATAGAAGCTTTTGTTTTTGACCATTTTTTTGGTCCCCTCCTATAGAAACATCACAAATCACCGATATTCTCATGATGTAATTAAGAGAGTATAAAAAACCAGTACAGTAGAACCTCGAAAACTCGGCCTAATGTGGACCGAAGGGTGGCCGAGTTTGTGAAAATGCCGGGTTATCAGGAATGGGGTTAAAAAAATAAATACGAGCGTTTTCTCAGAAAATACTGTACTGTACTTGTATGTATTGTTTACTTGAGAATATAACAGAGAATAAACTGCCCAAATACCCTTAAACAAAGGAAAACTACGTTTTTTATGAAGGCATAGAGCCTTTACTACATGAAAATAAAAATTAATGAATACACTGTGTATAGTAATTTACCTGATAAGACAGACCTCAAAAAAATACTTTATGAGAGCTTTTATACTTTTATAAAGCTGTCTATAATGAAAATTAATTAACTAAGGATGTTTTTGCCCTGCCAGGGTGTGGCCGAGTTATCCGGAGTGCCGAGTTATCGAGAGCCGAGTTTTCGAGGTTCTACTGTATAACAAATAAAAATATATTATTCAATAAGAATAAGCTTATGAAAATATTTTAAATAGTCCCATCATAAAAGTAACAATAAAAAGTTGGAAATAAAACTTATGAGAATTTAAAAATTGATAGAAATTTTAACAATTTTGGGTTGAATAACCTTCTAGATTTAAAATTTTCAAGGATTAAAAATTTTAAAATAGCACAAATTCTTAAACTAAGCAATTTCAGATTTAAGAGCATATAAATCTTAAATTAGCAAATAGTTGTTATATACATTTCACTTTAAACAACTAGATTACTTAACTTATGTTTTTAAAAATATTTACGAAATATATTATCTATATATATATATTATATAATATATACATGTCCATTTATATATATATATATATAAATGGACATGTATATATTATATAATATATATATATAGATAATATATTTCGTAAATATTTTTAAAAACATAAGTTAAGTAATCTAGTTGTTTAAAGTGAAATGTATATAACAACTATTTGCAAATTTAAGATTTATATGCTCTTAAATCTGAAATTGCTTAGTTTAAGAATTTGTGCTATTTTAAAATTTTTAATCCTTGAAAATTTTAAATCTAGAAGGTTATTCAACCCAAAATTGTTAAAATTTCTATCAATTTTTAAATTCTCATAAGTTTTATTTCCAACTTTTTATTGTTACTTTTATGATGGGACTATTTAAAATATTTTCATAAGCTTATTCTTATTGAATAATATATTTTTATTTGTTATACAGTAGAACCTCGAAAACTCGGCTCTCGATAACTCGGCACTCCGGATAACTCGGNTATCTTAATCTTCACTGTCGTTACTTTTTGCCCAGCGAAGCGGGTCCTTGCAGCTAGATTCTAGATTACTTAGAAAAACAGTCTTTTATATATATAAAAAAAAACTATATTACATACAAATAAAAACCCAGTGAAGCGGGTCCTTGCAGCTAGTTAATATATAAATTCTTGAAGCAGTAATTCATGTTTAGTCTTGTAACGTCCAGTCTGAGTTCCAAATGTCAAATTATAATGTTATTTCTCTTTGTTTTCAGTATCTAGACACCATTTCTGTAGTACATTTTCAATTTTTAAAATTGCAATGTCTTCTTACACAAACAATATATCATTTCTGCTAAAGTGTGAAAAGATCAAAAGATAGCAAAAATTTTGCTAGTTTGTAAAGTATTATCTTTTTCAATAATTATCATCATTTCTTATTAATTCTTCTGTATTGCTATTAACAGTTATTCTGTTGCAAAATTCATTGTAACTTACAGTATATTTAATGATTTAATGTTTCAACATTGTTAAATTTGAAATAACTTGTAATTTAAGAATTTATATTATTCTAGGCATTTATTTTCTGAAATTGGAGATTTAGGCTTCTTGAAAATGATTTGTTCAACCCAAAATTCTTTGGAATTTTATCAACTTTTAAGCTTGTACTGTAATTATCATATTTACTTACATTTAAAGATTTTTATTGACATTGTTTCTTTGGAAATGGTTATTAAAATTTAGACACTGACTGCATAAATTAATAACTATTTAATGTTATAATACAGTACAGTCGACCCCCCCCCCTATAAGATAGAGATACGTTCCATTCTTTAGGAATCCGATTTCTTACGAATCCTTCCAATCACAACCCGACACGTATCAAGTTTACGGACTACGGCTGTTTGAAAGATTTTCTTCCATAAAATTAATCGATTTTAGACTAATCCGACTCAACATTTCCAAAATACGTATATTTTTTTTGGGAATAATCTGTATAAACTACGCTATAAACAAAAAATTGTAAGATTACTTACCAAGTGTCACCATTCGACATCGCCATTGCTCAACATTGTTTTCGTCGCGGAACAGCTCAGCAAAGAGCGGCCGATTTCTAACAACTTATTTTTCTGTGAAAACTTCGTAGAACTTCGGAGACATCATTAATATAAATAATTTTAATCGCCGTTGAATAAGAAATGTTTCTTTCACAAGAAATGTATAAAATTACAGTACTGTATTAGACTTACGGTACCTAATTTACATACTGACAGACGATAGTTAGCGTAAAAATCTCCGTAGCGTGGCGCCACGCTAGACGGCGGAAATTATATATTTAATTATAACAAAGTTACAATAAGTTAATATATAATTATATATACAGTACCTAATTTATATATAATTAATATATAATTATATGTACAGTACCTAATTTATATATAATTTATATAATACTGTCCAGACGATAGAAATCTCTCCGTAGCGTGGCGCTACGGACAGCGGGAAAGTAGTTCGGCTGCCTGATGACGTTTGAGGTAATTATAGGGAATTTTTACTGTTTTTTACGGATACCAGTCACAATTTTTTTGTAGTTTTATAGGAATCGTAATTTCAGGGACCGTAATTATAGGGGGGTCGACTGTACTATAATCCATTTGTCTAGTGATTGATAATAAAATTATAGAATATTATGTAAATAAAAAGTAAACTACCTTCTGTAGTTCAGAAATTTGTGTAAGATATTGGAAGTATTTTTGTAAATTGCAAAAAATTTCTGAATATATTCTACTTTTTTTATGATTTGATGAATTGTATTACCTACAGTGTAATACTGTGGGAATCCAATGGGTAAGAAGTGGTTTTCCTTAGTCTTGATCCACCTCAGATTGGGAAGCTCTGCTCACAGGGTTACTAGGATGGGTTTTTAGTATGTTAAAATTTGCTTACAGGGAGTTTGCAAGAATTACCTGCAAGTTTGTTTTTCCTGACACCAGCCAAATTAGAGTATTAGGCATGCTAATGGTTAAAATAATAAACTTTCCAAGAGGGAGGGTTCATAGATCCGTGATAAGACTTTGGCATGGAATTGAGTTCAGTAACAAGACCATTTAAAATCAATGAAACAAAATTTATTAAGAACAAAAGAAAATTAAAAAGTAAAATTACAGATAAGCAAGGGGGTTTGTAATTCTCTATCTATTCATGTGAGAGAGAGAGAGTTTACATCGAATAAACATATACTACCTTGTTGGAGTTCTTGACTTGGTTTTTTAGTTAATGATGAAGATGGAAAAATGCTGTGGTGGTGTTCTTGTGGTTTACGAGGTCTTGGAGGAGGATGATGAGTGAAGCGGTGAAGTTCAGGTGGGAACTCAGGACAAAATCTTCTCTTAGTGACTCAGGGTTTTAAGCACAAGGGAAATCTTTCGAGAACTCTGCGATCGGAGGAAATTGCCCCTTTTTATCCAAAATTCTGACCAATAGCAATCCTCGATTCATGTCCACTAATGGGATGTGTGGGGACATATAGAGGGGGTTAGGTACCCAGATGATTGTCAAAATGAGAGATAAGGTCCTGTGAAGGGAAGTTGATTTCCCTCTTCGATACAAAAGTGACAAATGTGGCTTCTGTTAATGTAAACAACATGTAGAAAATAAAATTTATTTTCTCAGAATAATTAAATAACTGTTTAGAGTGAAAAAATAACTAAAACAATTAAATATCACATTCCTAAGAAGTAAAAGTTATTCTCTACATAAGGAAATAGCACTCACTCACCTTCTTCATTGAAAAATGAAGGAAATAATTTAGAGTTTCTTTTTGAAGAAAGGATGATCTGAAAACAGCTCTAATCTAGATTGAGCTGTTTTCAGATCATCCTTTCTGAAAATAGATCATATCAATGTTATAATATAATGTTGCTCAACTATAATTAAGTATAGAGAGTAATACATCAATCTAATCTAGATTGATGTATTACTCTCTATACTTAATTACAGTAATACCCCAAACTTACACGATAGGTGGGACCGAGCGATAACCACGTAAGTCAGGGTATAATTTTGCAATTTATGTAAAATCCAAGTCAGATGTATGTAAGCTAATAAATGTTCTCATTAATCTTATCTCGTCTTTTGATTCGTTCACGGTTACAAGAAATCACTACATAGAGTTGCTGAAGTCTTCGTAGGTATAACAAACACAGAAATAAATAACACAAAATAAATTGTAGCTATGTGTCGATTCCGCGTGACACATCTGAATATGTAAGCTGAATAATAGTGTGGGGAGAGTGAGTAATCGAGAGTTGCGTGGCGCTCAAACAAAAGACAAATCGACGACATTTGAAAATCGCATAAGTCGAGGTATTACTGTATATTAATTGTAAAATTTTTGTTTCAATTCTCACAATATTAAGCAATCAAAGTTTACTTGCAAGAAGTAAAGTAGTTATACTTGATGGCACAATGAGATAGACATGCTTATTCTACTACATGTCATGAGAAATTTTAAACATTTACTTACTACAGGCTTAAGAGATAATTATTTGAAACTCTTTATTATCATGAACAAATCTGTTCCTTGCAAATAAACTTTTTGTTTGATCATTCTGTATAATCATTAAAGAGTGATCCAATAAAAATATTACCAGATTTATTTTCTATATTATATAGTAATAAGTGTTTTATTGACAGTTTTTATCTAAGTATATTTATTATTTTTCTGTTATATTTTACTAATATTTTTAATCATACTCTTTTATTTTAGATGCATATTGATGATTATGTCACAACATTTTATTTAGTTGTTTTTGCTGTATTCTATTGGGCATTTATTTTCATAAATATCAATTTTCTGAAACCCAATGTATTGATACTAAGCCAAACAATCACTATAATTAATTGGGCTATTAGTATGCTATAATTAATAAATTATAAACTAAGTAATTTGGTACTAGAGGCAGATGAATGGTTATATCTAAATTTAAATACATCTGGAAATGAAGGCTTGCTTGGGGTCCAAATGGCATAACTGGCAAGCACACTGCACGGTAAGCAGAGGTTATGGGTTAAAGTCTCACTTCGGACTAGTTCTTTTCTTCCAGGATGTTTTAACTATTTAATAAATTATTCATTTAGATAAGAGATGGTGCCTACCTCTAGTACCAAATTACTTAGTTTCTAATATATTAATTACAGCATATTAATAACCCAATTAATTATGGCAATTATTTGGCATTTATTAATGTGTAACTTTAATACTTACATAGACAATAATATATTTATTTATAACCAAACATAGTTATAATGAGTTTATTAATTATATAATTTTTATAAAAGATATTACACTGATTATTAGACATGTCTTCATCTGTTAATACACACAACTATATACTGGTTAATATTTCTACGCAATATAATTTAAGGCATTATGTGTAATAACAGTTTTTAAGATAATTTTAAATGTACAGTATCTTGTACAGTACATAGGATATTACTAGTAAATTACATGAAAAATATGCTAAATGTTATAATTATTTAATATTTCTTAGGATGAATTTCATTCAAGATTGCGGTTTGTTAGACGAGGACTGGTTGCAATGGCCACAAGTCAACCAAATGATAATGAAAGTCAATTCTTTTTTACTCTTGGAGCTTGCCCTGAATTACAGAATAAGCATACAATATTTGGAAAGGTATGAAAAACAATTTATATTTAAAATGTTTAAAATTTTTATAACAAAGTTTTTATACATATGCAAAGTTGAAGTAAAATTTATTTATTTTCACATGATTTATAATGTAATTTTTTTCTTTCTTGTAAAGTTTAGATCATATCAATGTTATAATATAATGTTGCTCAACTTCTTAATTATACATTACTGAATCATTATTATGTGATATAATTTCAATTATTGGATATAAAAGTATTCAGATGTTCTTTTAAATTAATATTTAAATGCAACTGTATGGTAAGCAGAAGTAGGAAATTCAAGTCTCACTTCAAATTAATTAATCTTATTTTCCAAAATTTTCTAAATTAATATAAATATTAATGATTAAGTTTAATACAAGATGGCAGCTTAATCATCTTCCTTTAGTCCAAATTACATAGCATTTGTATATTTAGTGGAGTTCTTGACTTGGTTTTTTAGTTAATGATGAAGATGGGAAAAATGCTGTGGTGGTGTTCTTGTGGTTTACGAGGTCTTGGAGGAGGATGATGAGTGAAGCGGTGAAGTTCAGGTGGGAACTCAGGACAAAATCTTCTCTTAGTGACTCAGGGTTTTAAGCACAAGGGAAATCTTTCGAAAACTCCGCGATCGGAGGAAATTGCCCCTTTTTATCCAAAATTCTGACCAATAGCAATCCTCGATTCATGTCCACTAATGGGATGTGTGGGGACATATAGAGGGGGTTAGGTACCCAGATGATTGTCAAAATGAGAGATAAGGTCCTGTGAAGGGAAGTTGATTTCCCTCTTCAATACAAAAGTGACAAATGTGGCTTCTGTTAATGTAAACAACATGTAGAAAATAAAATTTATTTTCTCAGAATAATTAAATAACTGTTTAGAGTGAAAAAATAACTAAAACAATTAAATATCACATTCCTAAGAAGTAAAAGTTATTCTCTACATAAGGAAATAGCACTCACTCACCTTCTTCATTGAAAAATGAAGGAAATAATTTAGAGTTTCTTTTTGAAGAAAGGATGATCTGAAAACAGCTCTAATCTAGATTGATGTATTACTCTATACTTAATTACAGTAATACCCCGAACTTACACGATAGGTGGGACCGAGCGATAACCACGTAAGTCAGATTATAATNTCAGACACACACACACACACACATACACACACAGAAATGTAAAGTTCATTTTTGTGATGAAGGTCCTGACTTTTCTGAAATTCTTGTTCTTTTGCAATAAAATTGTGAAGTTTTAATTGTCACTTTTTTGTTTCCTTAAGCAAATGTCAGTAGCAGAAGATTGCATCCAAAACACCTCGTTTTGCTTTAGCACTCCTTTCAAAATCTGGATAATTCGCTACAATTTGATCAACAATTTCAGTTATCTTACCAAACTTTTACTAAAAAATCTGTAATTTTTTGGGTTCTTTGTTTTCAGAATTTCTATTTTCCAGTTCCACATGGAATTCATGTGAAACTGGAAAGGCTCTCACCAGAAACCTGCAGTAACTCCTCAATATCCTGCTCGTCTATATCTCCTAGTCCTGCTATATTGATTAGGTTGAGTTTGGTCAACTTAACGATACAGCGATAGGGTCTTCTTGTTGAGAATTCTTGGATACCTTAAGCCATAACTTCTTCCACACTTCATTCATGCATTTATCAGTTAATTCTTGCCAAGTGAAGTCAATATTTCCTATGGCATCCATGATGTTATATTTTTTCCAAAATTGCACCAAACAAACATAGATTTAAAGAAAGTATACCTTTTTGCCATCTTTTGCTGATTGGTTTGTGTTCACAAATAATTGTATTATATACGAATCAATGAAATGCCGTGATAATTTAAATTAGCGTAAATTTTGAGCTTTTTTTTAGGTTTTGAGCATACTGCGTTATATTATAATATAAATTAGCATTAAGCGGGGTCTTACTATATATATATGTATGTATGTGTATTTCTTAATTCTTAAGAAATAGCTAAAACTAGTTTGGAACATGCAGTTGTTCAAAATTGGTTAAGGATCATTCTTGAAGTAACCTTAAAATATGTATCAGTTAACCAACTTTTGAATCATCCTATGTTTTAAAATTTCTAAATTAAAAATTGACAGTTTATGTATCATCTATATGTATCAGTGGTGTGCCATGACATTTGATGATAGGGAAGCTGTGTTTCTGTAAGAAGCTGACTTCCAGGGGCAATCAGTTAATTGCACGTCAGGGTCCATTCATATTCGTTTGTTCAATAAGCCAGTAAAAACCGTACACTTCTTTAAATGTATTTTTAATAGATTATCTGACGTACTTACTAAATAAATAAGTTCAATATATAATTATCTCTGTTATTAGATTCAATAGATTCCCTATGCCCTTGTCATTTGTTTTAGGATCAGGTGTCCATGGAAATTTCCAACATTTACAACTTTTCAATAACTCTTATTGAACTGGAAAATTTCTATCTTTATTACATCTAATATTATGAAGAAATCAGTCTTCACTGTACTTAGCTAGAGATTGGTTCAGTTAAGCTTTTAAATAAAATTTTAGCTTTTTCATTAGGGTTTTATTTATGTCCCTAATTCCCTAATCTCTTAATTATTTAACTATTTCTTAAGTAGAAATAAGTTGAAACCAGTTACTTTGTACTTGAATATTTGTAGTCTTGGGAAAGAAGTGGAAAGACAAATTTTTATGACAATACATAAATCGTAAATTTAAGAAATATAAATTCTATTGCTTTTTTTTTTTGTACCTTGTGCATCTCATTCATTAAATTTAGTTGTAAATGATGCTGCCAAAGTAACAGTTAATTTTTTAACTTTGTACAAGAATTATACATGTTTTTTTTCTGCATCCCCTTATAGATAGAACATACTAAATCATAATATCACTAGTTTAACATTGAAATCCGTAAGTAATATAAGATGGGAGAGCAGAATAAAAATATCAAATATTTTAATTGATTTTTTAAACTGTCAACTAACTATCATAAAAACATACCAGTAAATTCCTATCAGTTGGGTTAAGTTATAAATCTACTCATGATTCACATAATTGGGTGAGGGTGGCCAAATATCTAGCAGGCAGGCAGCTTACAGCCCAGAACCGGTCCTGGATAGAATCATTGGAAGCGTTATATTACGATATTTTGGTGTGTAGCTTTCACCAGCTAAATCGGGTGAGGTTGGTGCTCTGTAAAGTGCATGCGCAAATGCATATAATCTGGTTGCTTGAAGCTCACCCAGTTTCAACAATACAGATCTTCCATTCTGCCATTGATATTCAAATATACAATAGCAATCTTATTGTTTTTTTCACATGTAGTATAGAAATTTGTAATAAGATACGTAATGTGGTTATAATAAAATATTAATTTTAATTAATTCAAAGTATGTTAAAATATGAAAATAATCACACAATATGTATTTATATTTTAGAAAAAGGGAAGCAGCGCTTCCACCACTTCCAAGGACAGCACACCATTGATATGTATCATCTATAATATAAGTAGGGATGTTCCAATACTGCCAATAGTAGAATTGATACTCTCCTTGTAACAATACCAGATCTGATACCCATTTTTCACAGGCACATAAGATCAGACCAAAACTGGATTTGGGTTTTAAAGTCAGTTTTGGTCAAAACCAAATTTTACATTAGTTTTGATTAAGTTAAACTTACATAGTAAATATTAATGACAAAAAGTTAATAAATTTATTACATCAAATTTCATTTACAGAATCTACTATATATATAGTATGCTTAGAGTTTAGAATACTATTTATAAATAATTTGCCAATTATTTGAAAATACAGTATATTAAAATTTCAAATCAACTAATATGGTATTAGTTTATATTAGAAATTAGTTTTAGTAATTTCTTAATAATAACTAACTAGAATAAAGCATGTTATTTATGTTAAAATTAAAAGTTTCAATTGCACAAAAAGTTTGAAAATAAAGCCACAGACTAAACAGCAACAGCCTGCAAGATTTCCAGTTTTAATACCCAATGCTGATACTGGCTGGTATCGATACTTTTATGGTATCAGGATGACCCTACCTATAAGTGAGTGACTGAATATTGAAAAATTAATTCATATCAAATAGTTTATCTATTGGCATTAATTTATTTTCAGACTGACTCAGAATATGAAAATACACACATAATCAAACATGATATTTGATATATTGTAGTTTAGGAATTAAAATTTTCAGGGAGGCTTAATACTATTAGGATATTTAATGCAAAGAATACTAGATTAATTGGATAGCAAGGTTAAATATCAAACACTGAACACTTGTCTTGTCATATAATAATTATAATAACTAATTTTAATTTGGAAATGTAAATTGAATAGCATTTTAAAATGTGTACAACATAAAACTCACTTTTGAAAGGATAAATTGTTAAGTTATAGAAATCTCAACCTGCTTACATTCAAACAATTTGTACAAATATAACATATATAATTTAGCATTTATAAAAAAAAAAAAAAAAACTTAGGAATTGTTTTTAATTACTGTATTGGTTTTTCTAAGCTGTTTTTGTAATACACAGAATATGATGATATGTTGATTATATCATCAATGCTTCTTTACAGCTTTCTTATGTAAAATACTTTATTTAATTGATAATTCCACTTTACAACAGGAAATATTTCTTCCTGTTTTATTACTGCATGTATTTGGAAAATAATAACTTCTCATTTCAGTAAAAATTTGTAATCATTATTTTATTATATATTGCATTTATTTGCATTTCTGTTTTATTAAATTTGTTAAAAGAAATTTAGCTTATTTAAACAATATTTAGAATAATTATCTAAAACTTTTTCATATTAAGATGAGAATAATATATTACTAAATTTATTTAATAGGTAACTGGAAAAACATTATATAATATGTTAAAATTGGAAGAATCTCTTGTGGATAAAAATGAAAGACCATATTATCCTCATAAAATTATTGAAACAAAAGTAAATAATTTTTATTTTGCAAAGACTTTCAAACAGTACAAGTGTAAATAATAATCTTTATTTAATTGTTGGTTTTGTGTTTTAGATTTTATCAAATCCATTTAATGACATTGTTCCTAGAGAGAAAAAGCAAGTTGTTGTAGAAGTTGAAGAAAAACCAGTTAAATCAAAACCTTCAAAGTATTATATTTTATCATGATTTAATAAATCAGTAATTTTTCTGTAAAAATTAAAATATATATAGTATATTTAAATTTATAGAAATTTTAATTTATTATCATTTGGAGAAGAAGCAGAAGAAGAAGAAGCTGAGGATGATCTAGTTGCACAAGTAAAATGTTTATAGTATTAAAAAGCAGAAAACCTTATTTGTTATAAAAATAAACTTAAGCTTAATAAATTTAAAATAGTAATTGAAAAAAACTAGCATAAAGATACCAAACATGAATTTCATTAGCTGTATTTTTTTATAGGAATTTCGTGGAAAAAGCAAAAGTAGTCATGACCTTGCTAATGATCCTCATCTTAGTTCAATGCCAGCAGTAGTTGATGATGCCTCAAATGACAGCATTGAACTCGATACTAACACAGATAAAAACAAAGATGTAAATTCACTAGATAATATTCGCAAGAAACTTCAAAAAACTGTGAATTCTAAACCAATAGACGATACACCAAAATCACCTGAAAATGAAGAATATGAGAAGAGGTAATGTACAGTTTGATAAAATTTTTTGATATTTAGTATTTAAATAACAGATATGAGTTTATAATAGAAAAGAGATTAGAAGAGAAATTAAAAAATTAAAAAGAGAATTGAAGGAAGAAGACAAAAAAGTTGATAATGAAGAAGAAGAAATGGATACAGTTAGTAAGTTTTGAAATTTTTTAATATAATTTATTTATATATATCTTTAGATATTTACATAGTTTTAACTAAATTTAGAAAGAGAACCTACAGATAATGAACTTTTGGAAGCTTACCATAATGAATTAGACAAACGCAAAAAGATGAAGAAAATTCAAAAGCAAGGAAATCGGGAAGAAACGGTACAAAATTTTCTTTTTCCAATGTTATTAATTAATGTTTAATTTAATAATGAAAAGCTTAAAAATAATATATTTTTTTAATTATTAGACTTTAGCTTTACTTGCTAAATTTCAAGCCAGACTTAAAAGTGCTAATGAAGAAAATGCAGACAAAGATGATAAAGTTGAAGTTAAAGTTAATGTTGAAAGAAGTAATGATGATGATGACGACGATGATGATGATGGTGGTGGTGATGGATGGTTAGTAATACATAAAATATTCATAAATTAAGATTTCCCTAAAAACATAATTGAAAATAACCTTCATTCTGTATAAAACTTAAAATTATTTTATGGTTTAAGGCTACGTCATAAACTATATTTTGAAGACAAAGGACCAGTTTTAGCTAAAGATGCCAGTATAAAAACAGAAGATACATATGAAATATTTGATCCCAGAAATCCAATTAACCTAAGAAGAAGAGAAGCAAGTAAAAAAGCAATGAAGAAACATCATTAATTTTATAAATATTTAAATCTTTTACTAATATTCATAAACTTCAAGTATTTTTTACTTATGAATATTAGTATAAATTTTATATTAATATGCAGGGTGACCTAAAAATCAGTTAGCCGAGAAATATCTTAAGATTATTTTCAGATTAATAATGTTTTCAATGACTGAATCACAAACAACATTAAGTTGTTCCTATATAGTTTTAATAGTTCTTTAAAATACATATACAGTATGTATAGATCTTGGTTGACTGATTTCTGAGCAACCCTGTATGTGTAACAAAATTGACATTTGTAAATATTTAAAGTTACCTTTCAATATATAGTATTTTGATACTACTAGATATGTTAAAGGTTTATAACTGTAAATTATCATTATCTTCATCTTTTATTGATTCATAGCATCTTAAAATTCATTGCAAAGAAATAATATAAGGTTATATTANAAAAAAAAAAAAAAAAAAAAAAAAAAAAAAAAAAAAAAAAAAAAAAAAAAAAAAAAAAAAAAAAAAAAAAAAAAAAAAAAAAAAAAAAAAAAAAAAAAAAAAAAAAAAAAAAAAAAAAAAAAAAAAAAAAAAAAAAAAAAAAAAAAAAAAAAAAAAAAAAAAAAAAAAAAAAAAAAAAAAAAAAAAAAAAAAAAAAAAAAAAAAAAAAAAAAAAAAAAAAAAAAAAAAAAAAAAAAAAAAAAAAAAAAAAAAAAAAAAAAAAAAAAAAAAAAAAAAAAAAAAAAAAAAAAAAAAAAAAAAAAAAAAAAAAAAAAAAAAAAAAAAAAAAAAAAAAAAAAAAAAAAAAAAAAAAAAAAAAAAAAAAAAAAAAAAAAAAAAAAAAAAAAAAAAAAAAAAAAAAAAAAAAAAAAAAAAAAAAAAAAAAAAAAAAAAAAAAAAAAAAAAAAAAAAAAAAAAAAAAAAAAAAAAAAAAAAAAAAAAAAAAAAAAAAAAAAAAAAAAAAAAAAAAAAAAAAAAAAAAAAAAAAAAAAAAAAAAAAAAAAAAAAAAAAAAAAAAAAAAAAAAAAAAAAAAAAAAAAAAAAAAAAAAAAAAAAAAAAAAAAAAAAAAAAAAAAAAAAAAAAAAAAAAAAAAAAAAAAAAAAAAAAAAAAAAAAAAAAAAAAAAAAAAAAAAAAAAAAAAAAAAAAAAAAAAAAAAAAAAAAAAAAAAAAAAAAAAAAAAAAAAAAAAAAAAAAAAAAAAAAAAAAAAAAAAAAAAAAAAAAAAAAAAAAAAAAAAAAAAAAAAAAAAAAAAAAAAAAAAAAAAAAAAAAAAAAAAAAAAAAAAAAAAAAAAAAAAAAAAAAAAAAAAAAAAAAAAAAAAAAAAAAAAAAAAAAAAAAAAAAAAAAAAAAAAAAAAAAAAAAAAAAAAAAAAAAAAAAAAAAAAAAAAAAAAAAAAAAAAAAAAAAAAAAAAAAAAAAAAAAAAAAAAAAAAAAAAAAAAAAAAAAAAAAAAAAAAAAAAAAAAAAAAAAAAAAAAAAAAAAAAAAAAAAAAAAAAAAAAAAAAAAAAAAAAAAAAAAAAAAAAAAAAAAAAAAAAAAAAAAAAAAAAAAAAAAAAAAAAAAAAAAAAAAAAAAAAAAAAAAAAAAAAAAAAAAAAAAAAAAAAAAAAAAAAAAAAAAAAAAAAAAAAAAAAAAAAAAAAAAAAAAAAAAAAAAAAAAAAAAAAAAAAAAAAAAAAAAAAAAAAAAAAAAAAAAAAAAAAAAAAAAAAAAAAAAAAAAAAAAAAAAAAAAAAAAAAAAAAAAAAAAAAAAAAAAAAAAAAAAAAAAAAAAAAAAAAAAAAAAAAAAAAAAAAAAAAAAAAAAAAAAAAAAAAAAAAAAAAAAAAAAAAAAAAAAAAAAAAAAAAAAAAAAAAAAAAAAAAAAAAAAAAAAAAAAAAAAAAAAAAAAAAAAAAAAAAAAAAAAAAAAAAAAAAAAAAAAAAAAAAAAAAAAAAAAAAAAAAAAAAAAAAAAAAAAAAAAAAAAAAAAAAAAAAAAAAAAAAAAAAAAAAAAAAAAAAAAAAAAAAAAAAAAAAAAAAAAAAAAAAAAAAAAAAAAAAAAAAAAAAAAAAAAAAAAAAAAAAAAAAAAAAAAAAAAAAAAAAAAAAAAAAAAAAAAAAAAAAAAAAAAAAAAAAAAAAAAAAAAAAAAAAAAAAAAAAAAAAAAAAAAAAAAAAAAAAAAAAAAAAAAAAAAAAAAAAAAAAAAAAAAAAAAAAAAAAAAAAAAAAAAAAAAAAAAAAAAAAAAAAAAAAAAAAAAAAAAAAAAAAAAAAAAAAAAAAAAAAAAAAAAAAAAAAAAAAAAAAAAAAAAAAAAAAAAAAAAAAAAAAAAAAAAAAAAAAAAAAAAAAAAAAAAAAAAAAAAAAAAAAAAAAAAAAAAAAAAAAAAAAAAAAAAAAAAAAAAAAAAAAAAAAAAAAAAAAAAAAAAAAAAAAAAAAAAAAAAAAAAAAAAAAAAAAAAAAAAAAAAAAAAAAAAAAAAAAAAAAAAAAAAAAAAAAAAAAAAAAAAAAAAAAAAAAAAAAAAAAAAAAAAAAAAAAAAAAAAAAAAAAAAAAAAAAAAAAAAAAAAAAAAAAAAAAAAAAAAAAAAAAAAAAAAAAAAAAAAAAAAAAAAAAAAAAAAAAAAAAAAAAAAAAAAAAAAAAAAAAAAAAAAAAAAAAAAAAAAAAAAAAAAAAAAAAAAAAAAAAAAAAAAAAAAAAAAAAAAAAAAAAAAAAAAAAAAAAAAAAAAAAAAAAAAAAAAAAAAAAAAAAAAAAAAAAAAAAAAAAAAAAAAAAAAAAAAAAAAAAAAAAAAAAAAAAAAAAAAAAAAAAAAAAAAAAAAAAAAAAAAAAAAAAAAAAAAAAAAAAAAAAAAAAAAAAAAAAAAAAAAAAAAAAAAAAAAAAAAAAAAAAAAAAAAAAAAAAAAAAAAAAAAAAAAAAAAAAAAAAAAAAAAAAAAAAAAAAAAAAAAAAAAAAAAAAAAAAAAAAAAAAAAAAAAAAAAAAAAAAAAAAAAAAAAAAAAAAAAAAAAAAAAAAAAAAAAAAAAAAAAAAAAAAAAAAAAAAAAAAAAAAAAAAAAAAAAAAAAAAAAAAAAAAAAAAAAAAAAAAAAAAAAAAAAAAAAAAAAAAAAAAAAAAAAAAAAAAAAAAAAAAAAAAAAAAAAAAAAAAAAAAAAAAAAAAAAAAAAAAAAAAAAAAAAAAAAAAAAAAAAAAAAAAAAAAAAAAAAAAAAAAAAAAAAAAAAAAAAAAAAAAAAAAAAAAAAAAAAAAAAAAAAAAAAAAAAAAAAAAAAAAAAAAAAAAAAAAAAAAAAAAAAAAAAAAAAAAAAAAAAAAAAAAAAAAAAAAAAAAAAAAAAAAAAAAAAAAAAAAAAAAAAAAAAAAAAAAAAAAAAAAAAAAAAAAAAAAAAAAAAAAAAAAAAAAAAAAAAAAAAAAAAAAAAAAAAAAAAAAAAAAAAAAAAAAAAAAAAAAAAAAAAAAAAAAAAAAAAAAAAAAAAAAAAAAAAAAAAAAAAAAAAAAAAAAAAAAAAAAAAAAAAAAAAAAAAAAAAAAAAAAAAAAAAAAAAAAAAAAAAAAAAAAAAAAAAAAAAAAAAAAAAAAAAAAAAAAAAAAAAAAAAAAAAAAAAAAAAAAAAAAAAAAAAAAAAAAAAAAAAAAAAAAAAAAAAAAAAAAAAAAAAAAAAAAAAAAAAAAAAAAAAAAAAAAAAAAAAAAAAAAAAAAAAAAAAAAAAAAAAAAAAAAAAAAAAAAAAAAAAAAAAAAAAAAAAAAAAAAAAAAAAAAAAAAAAAAAAAAAAAAAAAAAAAAAAAAAAAAAAAAAAAAAAAAAAAAAAAAAAAAAAAAAAAAAAAAAAAAAAAAAAAAAAAAAAAAAAAAAAAAAAAAAAAAAAAAAAAAAAAAAAAAAAAAAAAAAAAAAAAAAAAAAAAAAAAAAAAAAAAAAAGGCTATTTTAGAGGACTGTCGTGTCTTACCAAGCAAATAATTGGAGTAGTAAAATATTGAGAAAGGTAAGATGTTGTTACTTGAACGACTGAGTTATTAAGATTGTTGCTGACGTTTGATGTTAATGTTTCGTGACTGGAGAGAAGCCACGATTGTTGTAAGAAATTTTCAACTAAACGTAGAGGCCTATGTACAAAAATTTTGTTTTTTAATAAATAAGTTTAATTATTTTATAGATATGAAACTGTTTTATGAAAAATATAACTATAAAAGCTACGTTTATGAAGACATTTTTATCATATTCGCTTCGCTAGTTTTAAGGCATATTTATTACGTTTCATGACGTTTTTCGTGTATTTTTGTCCCTAATTTTGAAACAATAACTATTAAATTACATAAATAAAGGATTTTTAACTATTATAAAGATATTTCACAATTGTTAGACTTAAAAATTGAGGCCTATCAGTCAGATATTTGGCAAATTGAAAAACCCGAAAAATTCGATCAAACTAAGAATATGTGCCCTTAATTTCGTTATTATTTTCTGTAATTACAATTAATAATGGAACAAAGAAGAATTGAAGTATAAAAATCATTAAAAAAGAAGAATATTCCTTATTAAAAACGGCATCCATTTTCTATTAACTGGCCAGAACTGCAACCTTGGTTCGCTAAGGTCAAAGTTTATAGAGCGGTTAAAATGTCTCTCGTGCACTTACAAATGCGATATTATTTCAATTAAGCCGCCTTGTGTGACTTACACAAAGTCGGGTATCGTATGGGTCAAAGAAAAAGTTAAAAATCTTAAGATAATCCTATCTTCATCCTACTTAAATGGGTTTGGGAAAATTTCAGTAGACGAAGAAGATGAAGAACGGAGTGTATTGAAAGTTATTGATGATCGACTTCCTTCTAACCATCAATTTGGCTTTCTAGAGTTGTCAGGCTATTGACAAATTAAGTTTAAAGGAAGAGTTGTAACCCGATAAATCGATTATTCTTGAAATGTTTACGGAAAATCGCCATGCTTCGTGTCGATATCAGGCAATCTTTGACATTGACGGATACTGTATATAAATCAGAATATTTTCATTCTCTATCTATCTTACACGCATAAATAAATTTATTTTTAACGTATTTTGTCAGAATAATATATTTTAATCTTACAATAAATTANTTAGTTTTAGTAATTTCTTAATAATAACTAACTAGAATAAAGCATGTTATTTATGTTAAAATTAAAAGTTTCAATTGCACAAAAAGTTTGAAAATAAAGCCACAGACTAAACAGCAACAGCCTGCAAGATTTCCAGTTTTAATACCCAATGCTGATACTGGCTGGTATCGATACTTTTATGGTATCAGGATGACCCTACCTATAAGTGAGTGACTGAATATTGAAAAATTAATTCATATCAAATAGTTTATCTATTGGCATTAATTTATTTTCAGACTGACTCAGAATATGAAAATACACACATAATCAAACATGATATTTGATATATTGTAGTTTAGGAATTAAAATTTTCAGGGAGGCTTAATACTATTAGGATATTTAATGCAAAGAATACTAGATTAATTGGATAGCAAGGTTAAATATCAAACACTGAACACTTGTCTTGTCATATAATAATTATAATAACTAATTTTAATTTGGAAATGTAAATTGAATAGCATTTTAAAATGTGTACAACATAAAACTCACTTTTGAAAGGATAAATTGTTAAGTTATAGAAATCTCAACCTGCTTACATTCAAACAATTTGTACAAATATAACATATATAATTTAGCATTTATAAAAAAAAAAAAAAAACTTAGGAATTGTTTTTAATTACTGTATTGGTTTTTCTAAGCTGTTTTTGTAATACACAGAATATGATGATATGTTGATTATATCATCAATGCTTCTTTACAGCTTTCTTATGTAAAATACTTTATTTAATTGATAATTCCACTTTACAACAGGAAATATTTCTTCCTGTTTTATTACTGCATGTATTTGGAAAATAATAACTTCTCATTTCAGTAAAAATTTGTAATCATTATTTTATTATATATTGCATTTATTTGCATTTCTGTTTTATTAAATTTGTTAAAAGAAATTTAGCTTATTTAAACAATATTTAGAATAATTATCTAAAACTTTTTCATATTAAGATGATAATAATATATTACTAAATTTATTTAATAGGTAACTGGAAAAACATTATATAATATGTTAAAATTGGAAGAATCTCTTGTGGATAAAAATGAAAGACCATATTATCCTCATAAAATTATTGAAACAAAAGTAAATAATTTTTATTTTGCAAAGACTTTCAAACAGTACAAGTGTAAATAATAATCTTTATTTAATTGTTGGTTTTGTGTTTTAGATTTTATCAAATCCATTTAATGACATTGTTCCTAGAGAGAAAAAGCAAGTTGTTGTAGAAGTTGAAGAAAAACCAGTTAAATCAAAACCTTCAAAGTATTATATTTTATCATGATTTAATAAATCAGTAATTTTTCTGTAAAAATTAAAATATATATAGTATATTTAAATTTATAGAAATTTTAATTTATTATCATTTGGAGAAGAAGCAGAAGAAGAAGAAGCTGAGGATGATCTAGTTGCACAAGTAAAATGTTTATAGTATTAAAAAGCAGAAAACCTTATTTGTTATAAAAATAAACTTAAGCTTAATAAATTTAAAATAGTAATTGAAAAAAACTAGCATAAAGATACCAAACATGAATTTCATTAGCTGTATTTTTTTATAGGAATTTCGTGGAAAAAGCAAAAGTAGTCATGACCTTGCTAATGATCCTCATCTTAGTTCAATGCCAGCAGTAGTTGATGATGCCTCAAATGACAGCATTGAACTCGATACTAACACAGATAAAAACAAAGATGTAAATTCACTAGATAATATTCGCAAGAAACTTCAAAAAACTGTGAATTCTAAACCAATAGACGATACACCAAAATCACCTGAAAATGAAGAATATGAGAAGAGGTAATGTACAGTTTGATAAAATTTTTTGATATTTAGTATTTAAATAACAGATATGAGTTTATAATAGAAAAGAGATTAGAAGAGAAATTAAAAAATTAAAAAGAGAATTGAAGGAAGAAGACAAAAAAGTTGATAATGAAGAAGAAGAAATGGATACAGTTAGTAAGTTTTGAAATTTTTTAATATAATTTATTTATATATATCTTTAGATATTTACATAGTTTTAACTAAATTTAGAAAGAGAACCTACAGATAATGAACTTTTGGAAGCTTACCATAATGAATTAGACAAACGCAAAAAGATGAAGAAAATTCAAAAGCAAGGAAATCGGGAAGAAACGGTACAAAATTTTCTTTTTCCAATGTTATTAATTAATGTTTAATTTAATAATGAAAAGCTTAAAAATAATATATTTTTTTAATTATTAGACTTTAGCTTTACTTGCTAAATTTCAAGCCAGACTTAAAAGTGCTAATGAAGAAAATGCAGACAAAGATGATAAAGTTGAAGTTAAAGTTAATGTTGAAAGAAGTAATGATGATGATGACGACGATGATGATGATGGTGGTGGTGATGGATGGTTAGTAATACATAAAATATTCATAAATTAAGATTTCCCTAAAAACATAATTGAAAATAACCTTCATTCTGTATAAAACTTAAAATTATTTTATGGTTTAAGGCTACGTCATAAACTATATTTTGAAGACAAAGGACCAGTTTTAGCTAAAGATGCCAGTATAAAAACAGAAGATACATATGAAATATTTGATCCCAGAAATCCAATTAACCTAAGAAGAAGAGAAGCAAGTAAAAAAGCAATGAAGAAACATCATTAATTTTATAAATATTTAAATCTTTTACTAATATTCATAAACTTCAAGTATTTTTTACTTATGAATATTAGTATAAATTTTATATTAATATGCAGGGTGACCTAAAAATCAGTTAGCCGAGAAATATCTTAAGATTATTTTCAGATTAATAATGTTTTCAATGACTGAATCACAAACAACATTAAGTTGTTCCTAACTAGTTTTAATAGTTCTTTAAAATACATATACAGTATGTATAGATCTTGGTTGACTGATTTCTGAGCAACCCTGTATGTGTAACAAAATTGACATTTGTAAATATTTAAAGTTACCTTTCAATATATAGTATTTTGATACTACTAGATATGTTAAAGGTTTATAACTGTAAATTATCATTATCTTCATCTTTTATTGATTCATAGCATCTTAAAATTCATTGCAAAGAAATAATATAAGGTTATATTAATGTATATAAGTGTCTTAATTATTAACATGTAATTTTTAACAGGAACGTTGTATTTGAATAAAGTTTAATCTTAATTTAAATGTATAAAAAATGTTTTACCGTAACAATCGAATAATTAATGTTCATTAAGTTATACAACTAAAATTAATTAAATAGAACAAATCGGTTAAAGAGGTTTATTTTTCAATATTAAAAAAAGTAAAATCAAAAATAGAAAGAAATTAACAGTCTTTATTCCTAATTCACAGCACGTCAAGTAAGATAAGTTACATGACACATTTTGATTTGTTGTCGATTACCACCGTTTAGTATTCGTACTAATAAATGGAATCGATCAGAGACATTAAAAATTAAAAAAAAAAACTTTTTGATAGATCACAGTCGTCGTAGTAAACTCTTCTTCATTTGCAGCTTCAAGGATGATACACACGAGCGACAAAATTAAGGCGACAATAAGCGTTGACAGAATTAACCAATCATCTTTGCCGATTATCGACGTCAAAGCAGACGATTGATGAAAGTTGTCGACGTCATTGTGGTCTTAATTTTGTTTCAGGTGTGCATCGGCCTTTAGGCCTCTTCTAAAAGTTTTATCTCAGTTATTTATAAAATCACTGTGTTCCCATGTAAAGATTCTGTGCCGAACCATAATCCTGGTGGTGATAACGCACTTGATACTGTCCTTGAACAGGTGGTACTGTGACGTTACAGCTGGATGGTATAGAAGAACACGAAGAGTAACTTCCCACCTGTGCACCACTGGGTGATCCTAACATAGCACCGTATGACGAAGGAACTGCTTTCCACGGGCTCAAACAATGATTATTATTGGGTGCTGTGGGTCTCGGAGCTATGGGCTGTTCTATTAGCTGAGCCTCCTGAGGATTTCTATACGTTTGATTTCTTTGAGCGAGAATGCTTCGTTCATTACGTCTGAATTTTGCTCTTCGATTTTGAAACCATACCTTTAAAAAAAAGAAAAGAAAAAATGCATCCGTTAGAAGCTGTTTTTCGTTGGAAGAGAATAAACTAATTATTGAAACGGGAGACTGGTTCTTCCGTTAAAGAGGCACGCCTCATTTCAAACAACATCAGATGGCCATCCGAAGTCAGTGACACTTCAAGGGACGATCATTAGCCAATGATAGTTACTCGATGTTTTAACGCCCACTTACCTGAACTCTGCCCTCTGTGAGATTCACTTTACGAGCTAATTCCTCTCGCACATATGCGTCCGGGTAATGTGTCTTTTCGAAAACTCTCTCCAATGCACTCAGTTGATTGGCGGTAAATGTGGTGCGGTTTCGTCTAGGTTTCTTCCTTCTTTGATTTTCATCCTCTATAGATTCGTCTAACAATTGAAAAAATGTAATTTATTTCAAAAATATAAACGCTTTCCGATTCAAAAATTTGGAAAGAATATGGTTTTAATCCTAAATATTTGCAAGAAATACTGATTGATCCTAGCTTAAAAGTTACCCCACGCTTTCTAATTTGCTATATACCGAACTCTTTTGTGCTTAATTCTTAATATAGTACAAACTTTTAACGTAAGCCTTTGTTTTATGATTAAAATTACCTGCATACGTGCTGCTCTCTAAGTTCTGATTACTACACACCTACTAATAAACATTCATAAACTTAAAACGGAAATTCGGGCATATTGCAACAATTTAAATCGATTCTTCTCGATACAAAACTGTTTGGAAAAGAGATAAACGTCCTTGGAATATTAAAACTTATTTACAGTTTACGACAAAGCAATTCTAATCCCTGCCAAAATATATCTGGCAAACAATGCAAAATGGCTCAGATGCCAAAGTGATGAATAGATCCATTAAATGTGCGCCTAACTTTAAAAAGATACGACTCTCTTTATAAAAAAGCAAAAATAAATTAAAGCACTCATAAAAATAATGAACCTGTTATGCATAACTCAACTAGAGTCGCGAGATGCTAATGGACGAATTGTGCAACTGATGCAGGTGCGGATTTATTTACTCTGTTAATTTGTTAGATTGCAATTACTAAAAGTGTCCTTCGAAATCTTGCCTTTTAGCCTCATTTTACAGCTCTTTTTATTACTTAAAATATATTTTATAACTAGGTAAATATCACACTTGTTTACAGAACTGATGCGGATCTCTTGCAAGAAGATATTTATTCAGAAAAATATTTTTCTTTCAAAAAAGAATATCTCGTTACTAAATTATAAATTTGAGATTTAGAGCGCGTAACGTATTTAAGAATTTATTAAACATTACAGATTTTCCTAGAAAAAACAAGAATATGAAGACGTTACTCCGGGTATGATGGATAGGGATGCAGAAAAAAAACAAAAGAACTTTGACAGTATACAAATTTTAGCGCGAATATGTGGCCAAATGCCAACATCGGAATATTTTTTAAGTAGTTTAATCTGTTAAAATGATTTCTGTATAGTGATGTAATGTGTAAATTATACAGGAACTGTACGATAATAGTTTACTAATCGTGGAGTCGCGAATTAACCGATGGAGGAAACGATTAAAAAACCAAAAAAACACCTTTAAAATAATTTTAGAATCGTAGGTGTAAAGTTCTAGATGATGGTTGGCAACATTTATAACTATTTAAGGGCTCTTTTTCAGGCAACTGTCCCACCTGGTGTACGTATCTCCGACATTGTTGACTGATTGAATCTGTCACGGTCTGCGCGTGTGTGTACTATCCTCTGAAATAGGAGGGCGACAGAAAGTCATTTCCCATCTACTATGGTCTCTGATTGTAGATAACGAATCTGTCGTTAATGCTTTAACGACTGTGCGAAATTTGCGAAGAAAATGTCTTTCTCCAAAGCAATTTTAGAACCGGGAATCCAACAGTCGAAATGTCATTCCGTCGTAGCAAAATGGCTGCTATGTTCTAGATTAAAGGCGAAAGACGTTACGTTAAAGAAAAGAACGAACCGACAATTGACGTGAAGTTTATTCTGAGAGGTGTTTCAAAGCGTTACATATGTTCGCTATCTCTGACATCTTAATTAATTGTGAGTCAGGTAGATATATGTTAGTGTTCTACGAAAAACTTAGCTTACTATCGGTCAATCTCGCAGGAATTTGTCCTATATTAAGGCAGATTTAATTAGATTTTTAAACGAGTTACTAATTAAAATTAATAGAAAAATATTTTAGATTATGATAATGAAGTTATTTCGATAGTTTACAACGAAATGGGCCAAAAGTTTGACGAGGAAACATCGTTTCGTATGTTAGCGCCGGTTATTTTGAAGTAATTGCTATTAACAACTGAAAAAAAATGGTGCGAATAACAATTTTACGCAAATTTTCATCGATTTTCTAGAAAAAGAAGTCAGATTAAACTAGTTTTATTAGCGAAAATCGGTTTATTTAGCCAAATTTTCCTTATTAAATGCAGCTATTCCGCATAACAAAGCGTTAAATTGATTACTGTTGAAGCTTCCTCTGTATTTAAAAATGTGTATTTAATGATGAAACAATTAGCATGTATGAATATGTTTATTAAATTAGAAAACAAATAAATAAATTGGAATTTCTAGTCCCTTAGTAGCCTATCAGTTTTCTGCATAGGCTACGAGATTTCGCATTTCTTTTTAAAGTCGTTTGCAGTTATCACGAGTTATTTCGAGCTGCATTTACAAGAATCGTTCGGAATATTCAGCTTTAATTATGTTCTCAGAAATAGGCCCTATCACAGGGAGGAAATTTGGCTCGAGCCTCACATTTACTAGGCCTCAACATTTGCTACAAATTAATCACTGCATTATATTTCTTGTTTTTTAAGAAGAAAACACCCGTTATGTGTTTTGTCAAATATTATTATTTTAAAGAAAATAATTTTTTTGTTAGTACGCTGGGCCTCAAAATGTTAAGTGGCACTTGATCTCTAGAGATCCTATTTAGAAAAATTCTCATGGATTCATAATAAAGGAATAAAGATTAGGCCTGAATATGATTTTAAAAACTTTAATGGGTTTTCATTATTAATATAGTCTATATATAAAGGCCTCATTAACGCGTAGGCATGCTCAGCCATGGCAGTGCCTCGTCTTCTTAGCTGCCTGTTTTCGCTGCTCTGTACTAATGCTTTTGTTCTGTATCAGTATAATGCCTCTACAAGAATTGGGCCAGGGCCTCTTAAAAAACCCCTATTATGTATTAAAATGAATGAAAATGTTAAGAATGAAGAGCAAATGTGTAGCTCTGTAATGATACTGTCTTCGAATTATTGCCAACTTTAGTACTTGTGTTAACGAGGCAAATAAAATCGGGCCTTCGACACGCTTAATTCAATTAACTTTTAGTCTAATTGTTACGTAAGCGTGCCCTATATTTACGTTTAAATGTATAATATAAGGCCTTGAATAAAAAATTTAACATTTTATGAATTTTATACTTTCTTTTCTTATTAAATTTTCATTTAATTAAGTTATCTTGCAATACCTATGTATAGTTTGAAAGTACAGTACATCCAGTGCTTTTAATTAATTGTTAAAAATGAATTGATAAAATTAATTTGATTTTATAAAGCATTCTTTAGATTTACTTAATAAAATAGGTCTCTATTCTAATAAAGTTAATTTTAAAAAATTATCGTGAAGAACTGAATTGAAAATAATTATAAATATCTGTAAATCAGGCCTGAGATATGTGAAATGGGGTCCGGATCACTCAATGTGAGGCCTCTTCGGTTTATGAGATACGGCAGCGTAATACTTGGGCAATTTAGCAACGAGAGGCGTTGTCTGCGAGAAATTGGTCCCTATTTAGGCGTTAGACACGCGAAGAAAATCCGATAATTTCACGTGCCTAGCCTGTTAGCGGGGTGCGAACCCGCGACAAACTACCAGTGTCCAATAGTTTTATCCACTCGGGAATGGTGGGCCTTCCTCTCGGAAAGCCATAAAAATGTACGAATGAAATGAATAAAAAGAAATTATTCATAACTTATCGAACAAACTTTAATTTATATCATCTTTTTAATATAAAACAATTTGGAGGCCTCTCTGTGTCAGGGACCGGCGTAAATTGCCTTATTGAGTCTATATATCTGAGCTTTAAGAGAATATACCCCCATTGCGTGTCGCTACTTTTCACTTTTAAACTAAATTATAAGTTTGTTTGTTTGTATACGAAACGCGACACGTGGCCGAATGCCTCCACGGAGGTCTTTCTATGGGAAACTGGCCTCTATTTAAGTGTTACAGTAGTGAATAGGACCCGGGAAAGTCCACATGGCCAGCCCGTTGGTGAGGCGCGAACCTACGACCAACTACCAGTGGTTTTTTGGCCACTGTTGGGCCTACATTACAAGACATTAAAATTATTTATACAATATTTTATAAGATATAGATCGTTTCAAAGCTAAATTGTTTACAACTTTTTTAAAGTTCGAGATTAGCGTATATAATGGAATCCAACAAAAGTTTTCGCGCAAAATTCGCCATCTTTATATGAAAACTATAAAATCTATGGCGATTAATGGAGTTTAAACGTCCAATGACCCATTTTGACACCGTTTAAACTCTATTAATTCGTTATATGTTTTAATCAATACAGGATACCCCGAAAATCAGTTAATCGGTCGTCCACGATTCAGATTGGAGTGAGATCAGAACAAGCCTGTTATAACCGGTCTTAGGAATATATCTCGGGTTAACTGACTTTTGGACTATTCTTTAATGACTAAGAGGAACTTTTAGCATTAAAAATTTCGCGTTGGTTTCTAAGTTTGGAAGTTTAACTACTTATGTAGGAAGAGACGATGCGAAACAAGCTCATTGACTTCCCAAAATATTATTTTATTTACTAAAATTCCCGTTCTAAGTTTAAAATTGTAAAAATACGTTCAACTGTTTATTAGTTTTACTCTCGAGTTATATTTATATTCGGAATTGTCCTCTCTGATCTACAAACAAATTGCATTACTTAAACATTAACCTCTGAATTGGACAAGAGTCAAACTTGCAAAAAATGAATTTGTTAATACAGGAACCTCGAAACTATATTCAATAATTGTTAATCTGAACATATTTCTACATAAATATTCAATTTGGTATGTGTTTTCTCTGATTTTCAACATTATAAATGGGTTTTAGTAAGCGAACTGAGTTACCATCTTGAAGCATTTTAGCTCTCAAGATAATATATAGCAAGTACAGTACAGTACACTTAGATCTATAACGTATACTGTATGTAAAGGTGTGTAATGTAGATTATAGATTACAGGGCCTCATAAACACGGGCATAACCCGGCCTTAGCCGGAGTCTTCGCTAAAATTCTTTGAACCTCATCTAATTGCTCATTATACCAATATTTTTATTCTGTATC